CTCTCGACTACCCTTATTATATGTAATCTCAGCGGAAGACTTTTGAAAACATGATTTTTTGTGGATATAAAATTTACGTAAAAATTTTTCTTTCTAAATCAGAGGGAGAGAGGGCACAGCTTGCTAAACCCTAATCAAATATTTAACACAAAAGCATGCTAAATGCATTACTAGAAATTACCTAGGCATGATGAACTTAATGCAAATGCGGACAGATTCAATGCAGAAGCTTTAAAAACTAATTCCTCTTATACTACTCATGCAAATAACCCCAAAATTATACCATACCATCTAACACGGGTCTAGATCACTCAGTTAAAACAGTTTTGAAAGATGCATGGCCATTTAGGAGAAATAAATAAAATGGCACTGTCACTCGGTTTAAAAATCCAGAACAGGGGAGGGAGTTTTGAAAATTCATAATAAATTCCTCACTGGCAGAAAGGTAAGTGTAAAACATTTTCCAAGTGGAAACAAGGCATTTGAGTGAGTAAAACCCTAGTTATACCAGAAAACACCCGAATGACCCTGTTTCGATGCAGTGGTGAGAAACAAATCATAACTAAATAAATACTTACCCAAATCATGCAAAAGACCTATCAATATGATGAGAACAGAGAGATGCAGAGACTCCTAAAATTTCATGATTTTCTAAGCTGAAAATCTATATGAAAATAATTTTAGAACATGGAGACAAAATACGAAGAAATTACTAGCCGGAAGCATGCATACATATAAATAGTGAAAATTTACTTTCGCTTACAAAAGGCTACGGATTACCAATTAATTATCCGAAATAGGGTAATCCTAATTACTATTACGCATATCGCCTTTTAATAATTTCCACCGATCGGAGGAAGCGAACGGTAGAAAATACCTAAAACCGTATCAAAAGTTTTTATAAGCATATTATACAAATAAAACCACATAACTAGATTAAGAGCCAACACTATCCACAACCCCTCCATACGATCTCCTTCCGATTCTCGAGCTCGATTCTCAACTTCACTCCTCGGGCCCTAAATCGGGTATACCTACAAACATACAACACCTATATGAGTCTTTGAGGACTCAATGAGAATCTTGAAGTAATATCGAATACACATAGCACATAGGGCATACATATATCTATATATATATATATATATATACGTACATATATCTTATACATGAACATACAACATGAAGTAAAACAATCATATACTTCCCTTTTTCGTCGGCGTTCTTCATTCACATAATTGCCACACGCATAGAGTGAGATAATTCCCACCTTTATAACCCTATGCCATGACACGTATTGAAGATTATAGAAGGAATTTCCCACCTTTATAACCCTACGGTCCCAAGACCATAGAGTGAGATTTCCCCCCCTATATCATCAACACCATAATGCAACATGCATGACATGAAAAATTGTCGGGAATCCCTCGGAAGAGTCAATCTAAGTTACCGGTAAATAACCCCATATATTTCGAACCATGTCTAACTACGTGGGATCAAACCACCCCTAGGCCCTACGGTACCAGGCTCGTCGTACCCGAGAAATTTACCGTAACCTCGAAAGACTTTCCAACATAGTTTTATCTTTTTTTTTTAAATTCATGACACTTAATGCACCCACCCATGCACCCTTTCTACTTACCTTTCTCTCATCCTCACACCCAATGATTCACATAAGCAAGCAAGAGCACATAGGAGCACATAGAAAATACACATAAAGTTTCACCAAAATCATTTAGTCATAAAAACATAGAAATAACCGAAATCTTAACATGCAAAAACAATCTAACATCAAAGTTCACTAGATCTAGCATTTTACAAGAATAAAATTCAAGACTTCCATCTTTACATTTATTCAAGCAAATACACTAGATCTTCACATGCAAGAGTATTTTAAATCAAATTAGCACAAATTCTTAGTTCTTAACCATTTTTCATAGAAAACACTAGATCTTAACATGCAAGACTTTAGATCAACCATCAATCACTAGATCTTAACATGCAAGACCTTGGATCGACACTCAATCACCAACCTTAACATGCAAGGCCTTAAAACAACAATCAACACAAGATCAACACATGCAAAACACAAAATAAACCACATAAGCAATTTTAAGCATTTTACCTCAAAAATTCGAAGTTCCTTAGTGAAGTCAAAAATTCATTTTCTTTTCAAGATCAACAATCAAACACTAGATTAACACATGCAAGGCACTAATTAAGCCAAATAAAGAAATTTAAACATTTTTCCCCAAAAATTCGAAAGTTTCATGGCTAGGCCAAAAATTCATTTTCTTTTCAAAATCAACAATCAAACACTAGATCAACACATGCAAGGCACTAATTAAGCCAAATAAGCCATTTAAAACATTTTTCCCCAATTTTCGAAAAAATCACAAAGTTTCAAAAATAAAGCTATCTTTTCAAAACACTAACATGCAATCATCATCTAAAACATATAATCACATAATATGCAAGAATCAACAATGAAAACACATAAAAATACATAAAATACGAAAATACTAGTGGTGTTGTAGGTTTGAGCAAGAATTCAAGAATTCTCACCTATACTCTTTAGGGGAAGGATTTGTTAGCTCTTTTCTCTCTAATACAAGAAGAGATTAAGAGTTAGATTACAAACCAATATGAAGAAGGAAGAGGAAATTTTAGAATAAAAGAGGAGATGAAGCTCTTACATTCAAATTCAAGAATCTCTTGAAGAAAATATTTTGAGCTTCTTCTACTACTAATTTCGAAAATGGAAGAAGAAAGAAGAGAAGAGAGATTTCTTAGGATTGTAGTGGGGAGATGAGAAAACACTTGGTAATGGGTTCTATTTATAGAGTGGGGAGGCTTGCAACCTTAATGGGTAAGTATTGAGGAGGGGCTTCTTGGCAATTAAATCTTTAGGTGGGTTGGGGGTGATTTTGCAATTTTAGAAAATAGGAGTGGTGGTGGTTCTTGGGTGGTTCAAGCTTGAGAAGGTGGTGGCTATGGTGGTGGGGGTTGTGGCTGCCGAAATGAAGAAGGAAGGGAGAAGAAGAAAGACCTTTGGTCTTACTTAAAGTGGAGTGAAAAGCATGCCTAGTCTATAAAGTAGGGGGCTAGGCTTGGGTATTTCTTTCTATGCTCAAAGTACAACCACACTAATGCATGTTTAATACTAATAAATATGCAATTTAAAAATCATGTGTGTGTGTGTGAGGTGTCCGAAAATTCAAGAAATGTGGGGAGGATTTTCAAATTTTCTACATTAATTAAAAATCCTAAAATGCATGATAAAAATTTATTTTCTAAAATTTTGTGCATGCATAAATATGATGAAATGCTCATTTAAATTACATGCAAGAATAAAATCCTAGTTTATGAAAAATAATTTATTTCGACATACTATTTCGAAATATTTCCTAAGCACATAATTCACATAATCACATAATTCACATAATCATCACATAATTACCTAATTCACGTAAATACTAATCATGCAAGAATTATTATAAATTCAAATTTCACAAATATGCACATAAAGGTGGTAAAATAACATAATATTATTTTACCGAAAATGCGGGGTGTTACACAGAGCCCCTATTCTTCATCTAATGTGACAGCAAGGATCGGCACACATGAATTTACAAGTTTTTACTAGGAGGGGTTCGATTAAAGCACAAAAGATTGAAAATTTGTGTATAGTAGATTTTGACTGAGGAAAAGTTTCAGCGACAAATTAAAGGCACTTTTAAGTTTAACTGGTATCGCTTTCCTAGGAGATTCTTCTCAAATTGAAATTCTCGGAAAGTGAAAGTGTTCGATTATAAAGGTGACAGCAAAAGTGTGGCGGAGAGTTCTACTAGTCATCGATCTTGTGCGACTCTTCTGCAGTCTCATTATCAAAGTGGGGCCCAGCTTCTGCTTTGTTGGATCTCGGATCACGTTTTGCTTATGGAATGGATGCTCCATCATCTGGAACAAAATCTCTGCATGTGCATATTCAATGACCATCTCAAAGTGGATTCTTTCGAATAAATTCAAACATTCTTCACACTCAAATCTAGGTGTTGTGTGTGCAGTGTATGTGCATATTTAGAGTATGAAATGTGTAGTTTATATATAAAAAAATACTATTAACATGTACATATAATTAGTTAGAAGAATAATTCCAAGGAAGTTTGGCGTTCTATTTGTTGGTTGTGGTGGCATGCAGAGGCAGAATTGTTTTTCCAAGAACTGCCGAAACACTTTTAATCTCTCTTCCCCTGCTTATTCACAAGCGTTTTCACCTATTTCTCCGATTTTTAGTATGTGCAAGATTTATTTTTATTCTTGTAATATTTTTGATGCCATACGACGTTTTTTTGCAGGTTACAATGAGACCGCGAGGATTTTAAGTCTGCAGTAACCCTTGTCGAATGAAGCACAATCTTGTTTCTGCTTTCCGCACATTGGACGCTTTGAACTACACCGATATCGCCACAACTCCAATGAAATAGTGTGTGCTCGATTTTGCAACCACACCGACCGATTCTTTTGTGGGGTTGATTGCTATGGATAATAGACGCGGATATGAAGGGCTCTTCGGCTAGGATATACGAACTTAGTGAGAGAAATATAATGCAATTGATGGTGATTATGATCTGTAGTTTAATCCGAATCCGAAATGGAATCGGAATAGTGATTGTAGCACCCCGTTTACTTTACACTCTATACCGGAAAATGGTATAAAGGTTTTTCTATTAAGTTGCAGCGGAAGACCTTTTGAAAAAAACGGTTTTGTTTTTCGAAACAAAGTTCTAGAGAAAGGTGGTAAAGTTTTCTCTAGTTTTGAAAATACTTGAAGTGTTTCGCTTCAATTTTTGTTCGATAAAAACTTTTCTTGAAAAACCTTTGAAGTCGAACACTTCATATACTTAGTCAAAAACATTCTCTCTTTATTCGGTGCCACATTTTTCTTTAAACGTTTTCTTACTTTAAATAATGGATCGGGTTGTGGTGGAGCTCTTAAGAAATCAACATTAGAAAATAACAAGAATAGTCGGAAAACATTACATTATACATAAGGGTTAAACTGGTTTCCCGATAAAATATTCAAGTATTACGGATTACAATCCACTAAGAAGATTCAAGTACCAAAACGGAAGTTTATTAAAATCCACATATATTCCATACGGCTCGATCCCTCGGCTTTCCCCGAACTTGGTTCAACTTTGCTCCTCGGATTCGGATCATGCGTTACCTACACCAAGATAACATCTATATGAGCCTTTAAAAAGACTCAGTAAGAATCCGGAAGTAATAACAAGGTTTTGAAAAAGACTTTACACATAATTTATATGTATACACACATATATATATAGGCATACACGAACACATAATAAATTTACGATCATTCGAAACTTGCACTTACTATACCTTACCTTTACCTTTCCTTAAAATCTTTCAAGGATACTTTACATCCTTTCATTTCTTTCAAAAGTCGGGTACTTAACACCCTTCTTTCTCTTTACTTTAATATGCAAAAGTCGGGTACTTAACACACTTCTTTCTCTTTACTTTAATATGCAAAAGTCGGGTACTTAACACCCTTCTTTTCTATACTATAATATGCAATATGCATGAAAATGAGACTTTAGACTTTTAAAACTTTTCATGAGAAAACATTGGGCCCGTTTGGAAAAACAATCGTGGAGTTCGGCAATAAGCCGTGTGTTTTGGAGCTTGTGATCTATAACTTTACTATAGTCACGACTATAACTTTACTATAGCCGAGTTAGTGGTTTATAATCCCGATTCCTATGTGAATCAGTCCCTATGTGGACAGGTCCCTATGTAGACCCCAACTATTAACCACTAATCGGAATATAGTCACGGCTATAACTTTACTATAGCCGAGTTAGTGGTTTATAATCCCGATTCCTATGTGAATCAGTCCCTATGTGGACAGGCCCCTATGTGGACCCCAACTATCAACCACTAACGGAATACCAGCCCCCCGTATCCCATACTTATTCACCTAGATCCACAACCAATTTCCAAACATTTTGAACTTTGAAAAAATCGTGATGTATGCATCTTAGACTTACTAATGAATGACATGAAGCTTACATGATCTATCTATGTTTAATCAAATAAACAAACATAAAAGTAACAAGTATCACAACAATTATACTTCACATCTTCAATCAAATCATTGAACACATAACCATATAGAACATAGCACCTTTACTTCACCTTTCATTCCATAAACACACATAAATATTTAATATCACATAGTAGCACCAAGAAGGGCATTCTTCAACTTTAACCATATTGTAATCACATAATCATATAACCATGTCATTCATAGCATATCAATATCACTCATATCATGAATTATGAAAATTATCATATACGGCATTACTTTAGTCTAATCACTTAATACATAAACCTTTATTTCAAAAGGGTCACATAACATCACAAATAATATACGAAAACAATCAAGTATTCTAATTTATCATTATAAATCAATTGATCATTTTTCTAAATCTTGCACTTGATTCATAACACCGTTCTAGGCTAGTAGACTCTAATTCTCTCTTATAACATGCAACATAATACCTAAACTTAGATCATTAGACCATAACTTAGAGGTTTCACCTTCATCACTAACTTATCTTTCCTACCTCGTATATTAGAACCATGATCACAAATCATACTTTGATAAAAATAGTCAACTTAAGAAAATAAAACAGTTTTGGTATCCTAAATTTGAAAAATCATTTCTCTTGAACCACAAATCAAAAGCCTTTGAAACTTTTACAACATACTCCTTTATATGTCTTTAAAACCACCGAGAAACAGTTTAGAAAAATCATTATCCGAGTAAGAGATATAAATAAATTTCTATGGTGGTACAGTTTTGAAATCTGAAGAGAGGGAGTCACTTTAAAAATTTATTGCGCTTTACATATTCATCCAAACCTTTTGAAATTTTAACTACATATACTCTTAGGAGTCTTATATACCCCAGAAAAACAGTTTTAGAAAATATTTAGGAAATTAGGATAAATAAGTAAAATGGTACAGTAGTGCAGTTTAAAACTCAGAACAGGGGAGGGGACTTCAAATATTTCTTATAAATTATCTACTGTATCAATCACTGTCAAATATTATCTCAGATGAGTTCTATAAGTTGGCGTTCTAATCCAATTGGACTTACTAAATTTGAAAGAGGAAAACATTAGATTTAATTACTAATTCTAAACTAACTCTAGTTCTGTACAGTTTCGGTAAATAATTCATAACTCATTCATTTCTACTCCAAAAATTACAAGCCACCTATCAATATGACCATAATAGAGAGATCTATCCTCATATAAAATTTCGTAGTTTTCATAAATAAACTCGTGGGTGAAACATGGGTTAAAATCCGTACCTATGAATCTGAAAATTTTACATATAACCATCTATTTCAAGATTCTAGACCCAATCAACTTATGTGCCTCAAATCAAAACCTTAAACATATAATCATAATTAGTAAATCTTAACATGCAATCATTATAAACATCAAGATAATTAATTTCATAGCATATAATCATCAAATTTTCGGTTTTCTCACCAATCTTCTATTTTCTTTCAAGAATCAAGAATCAAGAGCTAGATTCTCACATGCAAAGCTTTAAACATGAAATTAAACATATCAAAACATCATCATCATTTTTCTCATCAAAGATCAAGGATTCAAGCATGGATCTTAACATGCATGAGGCTAAATATATAATATAGCATACTATGAGCACTTTCTTTCATAAAACTTTCGATTTCTTCAAACACTCAAGAAGGGGAGTTTTTCAAAAAGAGAAGAGAAGGAAATACTATTGATGTTAGCTTGATGTAGCAAGAATTCCATGATTCTTACATTAGGGTCTTTGAGAATTTGAAAGGCTTTGTATATATTTGAAACCCACTAGAGAATCCCTTCTTGGTTGAAGAATCTCCTTTTGGAGATGAAGAACTATCCTAGCTAGGAATTTATGAAAGAAAAACGAGAAGAAGAAGAAGAAGGAAGAGATTTAATGGAGAAGGCTTGAATTAGAAGAAGAGGTTTCTTCTTCTACTTTGGCTATTTTGATCGATGGAGAGGGGGAAGGAGAAGGGGACTTGGCTGATTTTTGGTGTGAGGAAATGAAGAGGAGAGGGTGGTATTTATAGAATTCAAGAGGCTTGTATTCTTAATGAGTAAGTATTGAAGAGGGGTCTTTTTGCAATTAGGAGTAACTTGAAATAATCTAGAGGGACTTCTAGGCAATTTCATTTAAGTTATCTTAAAAATAATGCTAAATGAAAAGTCAAGTGGAAATGCACATGGAATAAGTGTATGCATGCAACACATACAATCATAGCCAATTTAAAGAGAGGAAATTACTATCAATTAAGCATATAAACTTTCTAGTTGTGAGAAAATAAATTCTTATGTTACTAAAACTATATCCACGTAAATCACATAATTTCACGTCTTCAATTATATTAAACACATGAAATACATTTTAGTTGCGCAAATAGAGAATAAAATCAAAAATATTCATGTAGACATATAATGCACATTAGTTCACATAATTTCACATAAATAGCAAATAAAGCAAATTGAAAAGCGATCAATAAAATTCGCACATACAACACATATTCATGCAAAGGAGACGAGAGGGAAAATACGGAAACCAGGTATCGGAAACGCGGGGCGTTACAGTGATGGGGTATGATCGGTACATGATTGATCTGGGAGAAGAAGAATCAGATGGAGAATGATTTTGAGGAGAATGTGAATGAAGAAGAGAGTGGGAGTGATTTGTCGTTGAATATATACATAAGTGAAGATGAAATGAATGAGAACATAATTTCTTAGTGAGCTGCTGAGTACTGTGAAGCACAGAAAGTTGTGAACAAAATATCTACCTAGTGTGTATCGTGTGTGCGAAATGTTTGTGCATTTCTTTCGTGTGCAGTGTATGTGCATATTTTGAGTATGAAATCCGTAATTTATCAATAAAAAATAATATTAGTAATTACATATAATTAGTTAGAACAATACTGCCAAGGAAGTTTGATGTGTTATATGTTGGATTGTGGTGGCGTTTTCACCTATTTCTCTGGTGTTTAGTATGTCAAGACTCATTTTTAGTTTTATAATATTGATTGCACCATACAAATACCTTCAAATGTTTCCCAAAGAGTAGTCGAGTCAGCTTTTGAGCTTCTCGAGTGCCGAGATGAATTATCGAGCAAAGATGACGGTTTATTCATTTCGCCCGGTTTTGCTTTTGTTGCGGTCGTCGAAGCATTCGATAGTAAGGATGGTTTGCAAAAGCTTCTTGGTCATTTGCAAGACTGTGTTTCTCACTAACACTCTGATTCGCAAGGAAAAAGCCCACCGGACTTGTGTTGCACTGCACCGGTATATGAGAGCACACCTTCTTTTGTCTGTGAATTCCATTTTGCACGTCTCAAAAGTTAGGGGTTCGTATAAGATGTTGTATTTAAGTAATGAGGCATTGGATGCTGTATTTTGTCGAAGTGGCAAAATTATTACATATGAATGGTTTGTTTTGGTATGCACAATGTTTGTGCATGTGTTTTTCGTGCGCAGTGTGTGTGCATTTATTTCGTCAACATAGTGTAATGAATTGAGTATGAAATGTGTATTTTATTTACAGTTATTGTTCCTATAAGTACATATAAATAATTACTTAGAATAATATTATCAAGGATAAAATAGTTTAGTTATAACATGCTTAAAAAACTAAATAAATAATTTACATAAATAAAAATATTAGATTTGAACTTTTATTGAAACAAAAAGTTATATAATATATAAATTGAAACCTTAAATTTTGGATTTTGATATTTGGCATCCACGTTGGCACCCTAGTCATCGCACATGTGACATTACATATTCCATTAATGGCAAAACGAGTTTTTTAGTCTTGTAAGGGTACATTTGGATGGAGCGATTTGGATGAGGGGTTTCAAATCCATAATAACAAATCCCTTGAACTTGTTTGAATTGAGGGATTTGGAGATGAATTTCAAATCTGCATCCCTCATTTTTAGTTGTTTTGGAGCAATTGAGGTGGATTTCAAATGACTCCAAATTGGAGTCTTTCAAATCATTTCCCCAAATTAAACCCCCCTCCAAACCCCTCCATCCAAATGGACCCTAAGTTTACTAGTTGGGAGGTTTAGTCCACCACATTTCAAAATCATAATTTTAGTCATGTAAATTACAAAAGTTTAGAATTTCGGTCATATGACCTGCTATAACACGTAATTCAATGCTTGGTTTGAATGAGTTGGCATTTAATTAAAAAAAATATAGATTAAAAATAAACTAGATGATGTGGCCGATCGTTGGATGATTTTGGAAGAAAATAAAATATATCATCAAATTATTATTTTTTACTCGATGAAGGAAATAAGCACTTTTTTAGTATTTAATTTTTTAATTTAAATTTCATAGTTTTTGATAAAATTAGTAATTAACTATATTCTATTACTCCTATATATGAATATTTGTTACTCGATAATGTATTTTATGTTTTGATGCTCTAAAATGTTTTTTTTGGTATTATTAATTTAACAAAGCTAACAAAGCTTTAAATATATTTAATTAATTTTTTGGTTAATTAGTAAATGTGTGTTTGATTTTTTATAACAATTTTAACTGTGCTGTTAGAGTAGGTGACCAACAAGCCAACATGTGGTTGTGGTCTTTCGTATTCATTATGGTAATAAACGAACATTTATTCGTATTAATGATAAAACAACTTGGCATTCTATGTATTTGTCCCTTTGTCACAAGCATAGATATAGTCCTTACAGTTATTACAAGTACTAGTAATTGATCGTTAGGATCGTGAGATATTTACTTAAGTATTATAACTGTTAAACGTGTTCCTAGTCGAAGGGTTACGCCACCAATGAGGATATCGGCCTTTCCCATTAAGAGACTAGCACTTAGTGTATGTGTACTGCATCTCATCAGTAAACGGTATTGTGATATCGGCATGCATAAGTGGGTGCTCGTAAGTTGACGAGTTCACTGAACTCCCTCACCCTAGAAATCTCTAAGTGGTTCACAATAATCGAGTAGAGATATCTATGGTATAGTTGTACACCATTAGTCCTTATGACCTAGACATCACCGTGACTTCACTAGAGGACCAGCTGTATCGTGACCTGTCCCTGAGTTCCACCGAGGACCATCCCAAGGGCCAGTGTTCGTGCAGTCCGAAATCTAGTGGGAGGTCTGTGCATTGTAGTCGGGGATTCGATCGCTAGAATAGTCTTGGATGTCCTGCGTGTTCTTATAGTTTGTAATCTCTCTAAGTCTCTGGCCAGAGCTGACTAAGTGATGATTAGAGAATTCGATTATCTAAGTCATGCACGTAACAATTACAACACTTAGAACGATCGCACGGTCATTGAAAAAATAAAGAGGTCTCGATGAACCAATGCCTCTAGTTCAATCGGGACATATGAATAGAAGGGATCGTACTGTACGTTAACTATATCTGAAGGTTCTTGCAGGCACTTCATTTGTATCTAGGGAATCATGACGCGTAGTTGCTAGACGCCAATCTTGATTCGTTGGATGATTAAGGTGAAACGAGTTTCATCTTAATCGTAACTCTAAGGGATGAGTTTTGACCACAAAGGGTTGTGGACCCACGGCTAGCTTACACCTGAACCATCGATGGTCACACTGCTCGTGCACATGAGATCTTCGAATAAACGGTCAGAGATAAAATGGTTTATCTTTGCATGATTGGAAGTCAATATGATTGGGTCCAACATTCGTAATTTGGAATTATGAATGAGAATAAGAAAAGGAAAAGAATAGGCAAACATATTAGTGGACTTTCTAAATCGGGAAGTTTCCAAATTTAGAAAGTGCACTGAATTAGGGTTTCCACTTTTGGAAAGTTGGAAATCGAGAGTTGGCACTCGTAATGACGAGGACATTGTAATGATTCCGAAAATGTAATCGTTACAATTTTCCGATCATTGAATTGAGAGAGACGAGCAAGTAAAAGAACTAACGAACTTAAGCTGTTGGGCCCGGTCCAACTTATTTAAAACATCTTATAAGCTCCTACATCTGATAAGATATTTTAGGAGCTGATAAGCCGTTAGATCTTATTTTAAAAATTATTTTTTAAGGTGTTTGGATATGTAGCTTATAAGTTACTTTTTGTTTTTATAAGTTGTTCACGTGTTTGGAAATAAAAGGTCTGTTTATTGCTATAATGACAAAAAAGTACATGACACCAGTATAATTGTTAAACTTATATGACTCAAATACTTGTGTTCCTAAAATATTATTATAATATTTACAAATTATTTTTTCAAATAATAATAATAATATAAAATAAAAGTTGTAAAAGAAATATAATTTTTTTTATAGATGAAAGAAATATAATTTATTATGGAGATAATAAGAATATTCGTGTATTTTTATATACATATAAAATATAAATAGAGAATAATTTTTTTTACAATTATTATGATAATTACGATAATTATATTTAACTAATTATGAATCTTGATTACAAGAATAGGTTGTTTTGATAAAATATAAATATTATTAGTATTCATGTAATATAATAAAGTATTTGTGGGTAATTTTGTATTTTAAGTGTTTTAGTAAAGAAGCAAATAAGATCTTAAAGAAAAAAGGTGGGGTAGATGTACTTTTTTAAAAACATCTTATAAGCTCCCTAACAACTTATTTTTGGAAAAAATAAGATCTTTTGCAATTTTTTTACCAAACACCTTTTAACAACTTATAAGCTCCTAAACATCTTATAAGATGTTTTTAGGAGCTTATAAGCTTAGCCAAACAGGCTCTTCAGCCCGTTAGGGTTTTATGCAAGACACTATAAATACTTGATTTATAGGTCTTGCACGAAAGACAACACACGGAACCCTAACCCTAGCCGCTCCCTCTCTCTCTCGGCCACTCTCCCCGCGGCCACCACCGCCGTCGTCGCCGGAATCTTGCCGGAATCGGCCATCTCTTGGCCGATTCGCATTGGTAGTTCTTTCCTTCTTTCTGTTCTTCCGTTTTT